TTATTGTCATTACCAGTAATCCTTATATTCTAGAATTTAATAGAATGAAACAGGAACAGTACTACTATGAACGAAAAACAACAATAAAACCAATGGCTCGTATCCATCTGACACTGCTTGTTATAAACTGATAAGCCTATTTTATTGTTAATATTGTACACTGTACTATAAGTACATACTGGTTTGTGCAAGTTGACTGGTTACGTTAATAAAATGTACATCTGTGACCAATATGATCGGTGTAATGTCTCGGAATCAAAATATCGAACCAATAAATTCTAATATCAACCTTGACAGGGTAATAGACAGACAAAATCTTGTATTCATTTGTCAAAGTAAAAGCTTTTGACGTTTGCTAATACATCACAACTATTGCCGTGGACTAAGATAATTCTTTGACTGATGATACATGTCATATCGTATGTTTTTCACAAATCATTATAATCGTGAATATTTTTGGGAGATCATTAGTCTCCCTGGCGTTATTGATCTTTATTTATTTGTTTTTCGATACTTTCCCCTGTTTGTGAATCTTTTATAGGGATAACCTGACAACAGTTGTCATTTTTGTACAAACGTTGTTTCTTTAATTTATTTCACTGAAATATGTAGATTAAAATGATTTAAGGAAATCTGCTTGGCGCTGCCCTTTAGAATTCATGATTTCAAAATGGCCACAGTGTCTAATTGAGCGGCCATTTTGAATTAAAGTAGGTCAATATGTCAATTTTCATTTTATCAGTTTCAAGTATAACAGGACTCAACTGAATTAAGATGCAGGGTTCTCACTGGGCTTTTAGACTCCGAAGATTCTCCGGAGTCTAATGTCTTTAGACCCTCTAGCTCCAGAGTCATAGAAAGTCAGAAACCTTTTACACTGATTAAAGTACAGAAGATAATCTTAAAAATATTCTGAAAAGTATACTAATATGATATCGCTGATCTCACATGGGGGAGGAGTAGTCGCAATACCGCGAAAAATCCGGGGTCTGCAAACTTCCTTGTGAGAACCCTAAGATGGGTCTTAAAATTTCCAAGTAGCGTGTAAGCTAGAGCGGCATGAACGATATTTGGGATCTCTCTTCCAGTGATGTCTTATCGCTTTTTCATTCAAAGTTGGTCTTGATAAATTAGATGTGGTCATTTGGTAGAGACGTATCAATACTTCATTCTTTTCAATAGAAGGAGCTTAAATAGAATAGGCGTTCAACTTCATTGTCTAGACATTCTACAATACAAATCTATTGCATTGTTCTGATGCTGTACAAACGAACATGCCATCATATAATGGGATTTTTTATCAACCACATGATAAATTTATTAGGATATCATATGATCTGTGTGTGATATAATTCTTATCATTTGTACGTGCGCTAGCTGGGGACATAACAAAACGGTAATACGGCTAAATAAATTATAAATATCAATCATAAACGGAGTACTCGACGCCCGATCGTGAAAACGGTGAATCGAGAAAATGTGTTTTAATGATGATTCGTTTATCCAACGTATCACATATTTTTCTCCAACTATGTGATGCTTTAAAGTCCCCGTCTAAAGTTTGAAAATATTTTTTATCATTCATTTACTATTTGTCAGGACTTAAAAAGTGATTTTAGAGATTTTTGAACGAAAAAAAATTTTGGAAAAAAAAGTTGTGAGCATTTCATTTCTCAAAAATTCAAATAAGTTGAAATTTCTTAATCATCAGATATTTCTTAATGCATTTCAAAAAAGATTATCTTTTTAACACCAATGCAAAGATTGAACAAAGGACACACTATTTCAATAATAAAATGCCATATTTAATGGGCCATTTCAATGTTTTAGCATATCAAAAATATTTTGAAACATTAGTGATGTCACTAAGGTACCAAAAACCTTTTGAAAAAAATTGAACTTTTTTTTTCGATGTCAATCTTTTCTAAATATGATAGACTTTCATAAAAAACAATGTTGATTGTCTAACCAGGTTAAAAGGAAGAATAAATTATGTTTTAGATATCATTGTACCATTGGTTTCTATGAGAACTAAAATTTTGAAATGCATTTTTCTCAGAACCATTTTCATGCACTGATAAGTTAATTTCTCGCTTATTTATGAACCGATTTTCTTAATTATTTTGTCAAAAAACATGGGAGGATGAATGCTATACATTGGTATGAATTGTGGCTAATTAGAAGATATGAGTGACCTCTAAAAAGTGGTTTTAAATAAATTCACAAATTTTGGAACAAAAAGTCTATCAAAAACCACTTTTTAAAATCTAAAAAAAAATCACACTTTGATAACATTGGGTAAGACTACAATATAAGCCAAAGTGGTTTAAACTTTATATGGGGCCTTTAATGAAGGTGTAAACCTACAACCCTCCCATATAAGTCTGGCACTATGAAAGTCCTCATTGATCTTAATTGTGTCCTTCGATTATACTGTACACATAGGTCGGGTATTCATGTCTTTCAAGAATTTGTTGCAATCGCAAAACATCAAGAAGGCTTGACAGCCATTATTCAAACTGGATCTTCTGTTGCCTGGCGTGGACCCTTTGGACCAAGCATTTCGTTGGAAGAATATATATTATGGTAATATAAGTTTGAATATCGGTTTCCAATCCTTCTTGAGAGGGGAGTGTATGTTTGTGCCTGCTGATAAAATCCGCATCCTGTCTAAATCAATAAAAATACGTTTTAAACTAACAATAACATAAAGGTATGATTTATGAACAATTTTAGTTCCTATCTGTGAAATTTAACTATCCCAAGGAATGAAGTTCGGTAGGAATATAGTGAAGCCCTCCGTCCGTCAATCCGTTCGTCAGTCCTGAAGATAACTCAAATACTAGTCAATGGATTTACTTCAAAGTTGGTGGAAAGTTGTATATTTGTGAATAGTGTTACACAACTTTCCACCGACTTTGAAGAAACTCCATTGACTAGTATTGACGGACGGAGGGCTTCACTATATCCCTACCGAACTACCATAAAGATCTCAAAATGAACGCAAATTCCTGTTTTCCCGACCCCCCCCCCCCATACACAGCCCCTGGGAGTCAAGCTGAAAAACTCGGAATACTAGTACATACATAGATGTTGTGAATATACTCTCAAAATTTCAAACAACAATATGAATATTTATATTTAGTGTAGATTGCATATAATGTATTTATCCCATACTTGGACGTGTTACAGGTACATAAAGCCGGTTTGTAAAATCTTATATTTTCATCAGCGGGCAGATATAGCTTTACGTCCCGCTCCGAGCGGGCAGATATAGTATATCTGCCCGCTACGTCATAATCGCCGCTCGCATTTTTGTTTATAATTTGTAACGTTCGTGTAATGACTGTAAACGACAATGGAGAAAACACAGACAATCGGGATCTGTTTGATGGTTAAAAAAGGGAAGGAGCATCCACTTAATCAATCAAAAATTCGAGGAAATAAGTGTGGGAATATTTTAGAGAACAGGAAAATCCGCCCACGGCCAAGAAAACAAAACTGGACATGAATATTCTAAAATATTTCCACGATTGAACAATGTGAACCAGATGACCAGGATTGGTATGGGATAAACATATTATCCTATAGTCGGTTCAGGATATTGGGATTATCCCTTGGCCAATATAATATATTTTCCCTCGGGACCTGCGGCCCTCGGGCAAATATATTATATTAGCCTCGGGATAATCCCAATATCCTGAACCTCATATAGGATAATCTCTATATATGCTTCTCCGTGAAGTTGCCGTTTTCTAGTTTAGAAATGATTTCTGAAACACTTTCCTATACAAGGTGTCCTTGATTTATATATATTCCATACTATATCTAACGTGATCTAGCTGCAGCTTTTGCATATTCAAACACATTACGTAGTTGAAATGTTTCATTATACACAAACATCTACTCTGCTACGTACCCAGGGCACCTCTCGTAACTGACTATGGATGCACAGTTGCCCGTCATATATCTTATCTTTAGATTTTCCAAATTCTATGAGATATACGATGTCAATTTTCGAGTAACTCAAATTTTTCGTTATTGTTATTGCTAGTGAAACAACAACTGTCGGAATTAAAAAACTAAATCTTTACCGATATGTTACCCTTACAAAATAAGGTCTAACTTTTACAAAGTGATTCGCGATAAACGCGATAAACTTCTTTTCTAAAAAGGCGAACAATTTATGTTCTGATCTACCCTCTGGAGAAATGTAAGTTAACCTATTGATCTGATTGGATTGTTTCTTAGATTTGAAAGGTACCTGACAAACATATTTAACATAGATTCGAATCCTAACGTAGCAAAGTAGATGCTCTTCGATAGTACTAAAGCTAAATATATTTTGATTTCCACCCTCCGTTTATGCGATTTTTGAATATATATTTGTTTCTTAATTCCAACATGTATGTGATGTCACAATTGAATTACTGGTCTATATATTGTGGATCTCTTATGACTAGTAAATATAACGTTTGTTAGAGTGGCTTACTTTTATCATATTAGAATCGAAACAAAGATCTCGATTCTCCGATTAATGGCAAATATATGACCCCAAATCTTATTCTGGTAATTGCAAAAGACCTCACTCGATAGGCAATTCGATCTTTTAAACTGAACAGAATAAAATCGTCATTCATATTATACCATATATCACATAGAGTCTCGATCTTTATACCTCAACTAGTTTATCAGAGAAAATAAAGAGTAGTAAAAATAATAGGTCAGTTTTTATGTCACCGTCAAGAAGTGATACCCGGCGTTGTTTTGGCTGGCGTATGGCGTCGGCGCTTTTAACAATTGTTATACTTTACAGCTGGTTGCGACATTTTGTCACTTGGCCCTAATACTAAAACATGGCTGTACGGAACACAAGTTTCACATTTCCAGAGAACAAGCAATCATTAAAAAATAAATTTTCCACTTATCTCGAATAATCGATTGGCACATGAAAAATACAAAAAATCGAAATAACATTATTAATTTAAAGTATGGATTACCTGCACCTCTCGTGTAAACTTCAAGCGAGCTGGATTCAAAGTTTTAACTGATCGAAATTGTTGCTCTGAATGGTCCACGATTTCCTACTGAACATTAAATACAATCCTCTTTAATTGAATGCAGTTGATTTAAAGATCTTCGCCCGTCTTTTCCAAGCCGCAATCAGTATTTTTAGACAGCAAACTGATACTTTTGATAAATTCCAAGTTTTCTTTAGAGATCTTCGCTGGATTTCAAGTTTTGTGATCGTGATCTATAAATATAATTTAACTTTTGTTGTGTATAAGAGAGGAAATATGTCAATGAACGATGTACTCATCGCTCTTGTAATTAGATCCTTATCCCCGTCATTAGTTCGATTAAGGAGCATGAAACATTTTTTATTTCCAATTTTCAGCCTTCATGAGGTTTTACGAGCGGCTGGATTTAAGCTCTGGCACTGCATCGATCGCTACTGTAGTTCCGAGGGTCCAGTTTTGTCCGATTGAGACAGCATCTAAAGAGGTCGAGCGAATGGAATGCTTCTGTTTTGATAGTTTTGTTTGATCTTTTCAGTGTTTTTTGTTAAATCTGTTTTTCTGTTAATTAAATGAATCACGGCAACTGCACAACGACTAAAGATAGAACTGGTTGCTAATTTGCTATTTCTCATTTGGTACGATTTCAGCGTTGCAGCAATACTTATAGGCTTAGTTAGCGATTGCTTATCTAATTCTGTTGTCAATGACAACTTTAATTGTGCAACAGGTCAAAAGCTTAAATATGTCTTATTATTTTCCAACCACATGCCATTTGCATTTTATCAAATAAATCAAATACAATTTAGAATTTTTACCGAGTTACATACATCCATCAAACACAAGACGAGGATCGCAGATATGCGAATTGGGAACTTAATGTTTCGAAGTGAACGAACTCCAATATAAATGTTTAGGTATTCAAATCATGTTTATATAATTGACTCAAGGCAGCTGTGAAAAATCGGGTTTAAACTGTCGAAAACAACGGACGAGTTCATAATTGCCTTGATTGTCCCTCATCGATATTTGATTAAGATATTTAGGTAATATTTGGTCAACAGTTCCAACACAATGTTCCACCCTTCATTCAAATGTCTTCATTTATTCCTCAATTCAATATTAGGAAAGAAGTGAATACCTTTGAACCAATGATGCAATGTTCTTTATGGTAAACGTCATGTACATGATACGCATGCGTATTAATCACCAGAAGAAGTAATTGGGAAAGATGTCCCTTTTTAATAACATAAAACACTACTTGTGGATGTTTATGACATATAGTCAGCAACTATGACATAGTCAGCAATCCACATGACTTATATGTACTCACTATATCTGCATCCTTGAAAAATCATCCCAAATGGCGTTTGGTAGACTGTACTGTCAGTCAGAGTCGCTCCAAAAACAACCTTTTGCTCAATACTCCACGAAATTTAAAACGGATGACCATACACCAAACACTTAGTCTAACTGTCAAAACTGTTAAAAGAAGACCTCATTTGTTTATACATTCAAGCAAATTTTTCGAAAAGAGTGATTCTTTTGAAGTAACCATATAAAATATCTAAAACCATTGTACGTGGGGTTTAAAAGGTTTCTCTTTAACAAATCTAGGTTTATCGAGCTTGCATGATAATTGAAAGAGTATAAAAAGTGTCTCTTTTAGCTAAGAAGAAATAAAAAAAATTCACTTTCATCGGTTTCACATTTCATTAAATTGCAACTGTAAAATTGAAAAGTGCAACAAAGAAAGTAATACGATTTTTATATCCTCCTTAAGGTAGAATACAATTTTTATTTCCTCCTATTTAAAGGGAAAGTCAGCATTTCCATCCTTCATTCAAAGGACTTCATATCAATTTAGAAGTGAAATACCCTTGGACCAAGGATGAGCATTTCAGCTATCTGTGCCGAGTCTCCAATATTAATTTAAAATAAACTGCATTTTTCATTTTCGTTCCCTTGCGAGTTGTACTTTGATTCCAATGCAAAGCCATTAATCTTACAGGGGGTTAAGGTCCGACCTCCCGTGTATATCCTCTCGGTCGATTCACCTCGTTCTGAACTTTGAAAGCACCATTACTTTTCAGTAGGCCAAGGACGGCTAATGGTGCCTTCATCTAATACGTGTTTCAATGTGACTGTTCGTACAACACAAATATTAATTTGTCATTAATACAAATACTTTCACACCCATCCTCCCACCAACCCCTTCTTTGATCATGTTTTTTATTTCCAACATTAGTACTCGCACCTCCAGCGCCATTTTCATTTATTTGATACGCCTGCTAGTCTATGCCCACAAAAGCTGCAACCATTTTAATCCTTCCACGTCTGCTCTGAGTGGAGCATTATAATAATTTACATTTAATTTACATTTAATTACGTTAATTGATGACTGTTCCGTTGCGTGAACTATTTTGTAAAAACGCAACGTCGTAGATTTGCCATCCCAAATGGGACAGCATCTTTTCCATTCAATCGACGTTGGGCCATGCAGCCGAAGGTAGGCCATACAACCGAATTATGCCGATTCAATCTGACGAAAAATGCCGAGCCTCTCTTTTTGACCAATTAGAAACGTCCTCTTCACATTCGTGGTACCCTCGTCCAACTTCGTTTGCAAAGAAAATCTTCGGCAATCTCCGACTTTTCTTGAGGTATCTTCGGTTGCAAGCCAAAAGTCACCCGAACGCAATCTAGTCATATTACGTCCGGTCATGGTCAGTTCTGCAGACAGGCTAATATCTCGTAGAACCAACCGCATGCATGCAGTGTTATTTTATTTTATTCGCAGAGGTGTCCAGGCCCGTAGCTAGGGGGGGGGGGGGGGGCGGAGGGAGCGGCTGTTTCAAAAATATATACTGTAGCTATGTGCTGTGTCCCGAAATAAAATGGCTACACTTTATCGGGGAGTTTGGTAATGGGTAATGATGGTAATGGAAATGATTCCCAAATAATCCAATGGGACCACGGCCATTTTGATCCCAAGTCACCTGATACGTCACATGATCAAAAGTCCCACAATGCCCCGTGGAAAGAATTAACTTGTTCAGTTTTAATTGTGCTTCATGGGACTTTGCCCCATTGAGTCCCACATGGGTCGTGGAACCCCATTGAAATCGATGGGACAAGATGGGGGCAAAGTCCAACGGAGTCCCAAAAGTCCATGGGGCAAATTGCTAAGTCTATGAAGGTCCCACCGTGCCCAGTTGCTGTATGTTGTCCTTTAGCATTTAGCACCACCTTCTTTCACTTGGCTTCCGCCGGTCACATCACTAGTGTATCGTCATACTTTTAACGTCGTAAATTTTGCTTTTAACGCCGTAAAATCTACTTTGAACGGCGTCAATAGTAATTTTGTACAGCGTCAAAAATAATTTTAAACGGCGTCACAAACGATTTCGAACGGCGTCAAAAATGGGGGGCCAAAAATGATTTTTTAATGCCGCCAAAAATGATTTTTAAAGCCGTTTTTGAACTAGGTGGCATCCAATCAAAACCAACGTTACAACCATTTTGAAATGCCTGAGTACTTTGAAACGATAGCTTTTATATATTGTGCAAAAACACACTTTTTACGCCAGTCATACGAAGATCGGGCGTGAGATGCCCTAACATTGGATTGAAATCTTTCGACTTGATTTGTTATTAGGTCGAAAAGTCCTAAGAACGAGTGGCATATTGTGGGTGTACCAAAATTGTACATGACAGGTACTTGAAAACTCAGTCGATGACAAACAAAATTGTTTAGATTAAATGAAATGGAATGTTTCTTTTTTAGACCATGTAACCTAAATATTTATATATATTTTATCGATAATAGGGTCAATTCTTGATAACCTTTTCATTTCCATATTTTGTTATGCTTAATAATATTTCCACTTACCATGACCTTATTTTCAGTCCATCATATTGCTTTTGAAGTTTCATAAAGATGCTAAATGAGGTTAAAGTAGCACCAAAGTACCATAGTACCAAATTAATTTGAAGAAACATTTTTGTTGTTTGTTGTTGGGACATGTCACTTCGTAAAGTTGCCGTTAACATTTGCCAATTCCTATAACCATCATTTTCCCATCAAATAAGGATTTTCGTAGACTTTGGGCCGAACTTGTTTTTATCTTATGATCTATTGAGTGATCTGGTCATCTAATTCTACACTCATAAACATTCAAAATCTTCTAAAATACTGCCTTTACGTTCATGTCTTGGAGTTTCAATGGCGACTGATATGAACAGTTTGTGTGGACTGAGCCTAAACCTGTAAACCGACAAATAGCTTGACGTATTGTCTGCTATTTTATCTTGGGTATATCTACATAGCATTTTCGAAAACTCTCTATTGTTGATGTACGATAGTTTTTTGGTTATCGTATTTTGAGTTTCCCAATCGTAAAATACTTATCTTATTGATAACTTTTTTTAGTAATTCTAATAATTATATACATATATAAGCAAAGGGAAAGGACCAAAAGTTGTAATCGAACTTAGCAAGAAAAAGCAAACTCTAAGTGTATACCAGTCAAGAAAAACAAACCCCATATAGCAAAACCATGATCTAACGTGAAAAGAAACAATGTCTAATACCCACTTTCCCCCCACCATTCAAGAACCGATATCACAATCCAAGACCAGGAGACCAAGTGACATTCCAGTCATACTGAAGTAATTACAATACATGTTGAAGAAAAAATAGAAATTGATAGCCAATACTCATAACCTCAACGAAAGGACCCACGGTCCTGTGCTCACACAGTTTGGAACCTTCAGAGGAATTTATATCCTGACTTTCAAACCAAATTATTGATTTGGATTTGTAGTCTCCAACTTTGAAAAACTTAGATAGCACAGTTGTGTGACCTAGTTTGATGACCTTTGACCTTGAAAATTATACTTAGTCAGGGCCCAGTAAGGTCTTTTGTGATTAAGCTGACCAAAATTTACATCCAAAAATCAATTTGAAAAATCAACTTTTTTGACCTTTCGAAGGTCACTGAAGGTCAAGTAAATGTCAAATCCTAAAACTAATGTCAGATTTGAACTCCTGGCAACTTGTAGATGATTTTCAAAAAAATTGGTCAAATTGAAGCAAGTTGAAAAATAACTTTTTACTGTTTTTTTTGACGTCAAATATCTCAAAAACGGTAAAAATTTGATGCTGATATATATTGAGCAATATGTAGGGAATGCTTAATCTAGTAATAATGTAATTCATTGCAAGAAATGATCAAGTATAAGGCAAACTTTGAGAAACACAAAACCTGCCATTGACTTTATACATGAGAAAGTTTCCTGAAAATGAAGTCCTACTTTTTGTCAAATTTTATAGAGTAAACACCAAAAACTGTAATTCCAAGAGCTTTGAAATATTCAGAGGACATTATTTGCATATAAAGCAACTACTACAAGTTATTTGAAAGTTCCTCTTCAACAAAGTGTCTAGTATTTACAGAAAATTTGACTTTTTGACGTCAAAATCAGCAATTTCTCGGAAACCGGGCGAACTTGGGAAATGGCGATGATAGGTCAAATAGGCATCATGGATATGCATAAAATGAATGTGGCTATGACTCAATCCGAATAGCAGTTTTAATTTGTGCGGCCAATGTCGTCGGACGGACCAACGGACGGACGGACGGACCGACGGACGGACGCCTGGTCGATCCCATAGGCTCAAAAATAGTTGAAGAT